TTGATTTATGATTTTTAGTTAATAAAATATTTAAATAATGTTTTATTTTTTATTGTTAAATTTTTATTTTTGAATAACATTTAAATGGAATAATTCGTAGAATTATAATTTATATTGTCACTACAAAATTTCATGATGGATTTTGTAAAAATATTTCATTATTGATTAATTTTTTCTGTTTTGAATAAATATTTCAAATTTAATATACAATTTAGTTATAACATTTAAATAGTTCTGAATTTTTTTGGGGTAAATTACAAAGACCCCCGTACTATGGGGTCTGTGACAAAGACCCCCCTGTACTTTGTTTTGCGACAAAGGCCCCCCTGTACTATGACTATGAGACAAAGACCCCATTCCCTTAGTTTTCCGTTAAAATCTGCCATTGCAATATTTTTTAATTCCCATACTACCCTTGTAACAATTAGGAAAAAAACACTATCATCTACCCTTGTAACCCTTCTCCGTCTACGGCCCAACAACAAGAGGAACAAAAGTTCTCCGCCTTCAACATCTCGAACTCACCATGGACACCAACCCAGAACCGAATCCTTGTCTCCTCTGATAAGCGAACCTTCATCGCCGGATTCCAACAGCTATCCACCTCTCAACAGCTCTATATTTTCGCCATCTGGTACCGGAACATTACCAACAGAACCATCGTCTGGTCTCTCGGACRCAATTCAACTTTTAGCCCCTCTTCCTCTCTCGTCATCACACCTTCCGGTGCTCTCCAACTGAACGACTCCACTGGAAAGAACTTGTTTCCGTAGATAGCCGTCGGAAAATCCAAATCTTTCAATCTAGTCTTCCAAGATGATAGTAACTTGGTTTTCAAGAACTAGCAAAGCTTCAAATTTTTGACTGATACGTTTCTCCCCAACAAGTTGATGGACAATAACTGTAGGACCATGAAGATGTAGAGATGGATGGCTGATGCTTGGCCACTCCAAACCTGCATACAAAGAGAAAAGTGTAGCTTCCACATAATATGGGATCCGAGATACCAACCTCTCAAACAAAATGTAAGAGAGAACTACTGAATCTAATTAGAGCCGGAGCTGAGAGGATCTTTTCCGTGTTCTCAGTAAAGAGCTTATCTCATGTATATGAAGCACTTGGGAGTGATCCCTTGTATAGTCTGAACATTAAATTTCCTGTTATTAGGAATAAACAGTAACCAAAATAACCAATTGAGATAAGTGCTTCTCAACACTAAAATTCATGCTCCATCAGATTTTAGACAAGTGTCTCATGTTGACCAAGGATCTAATCACTTGGTCATCCAATATACACTGGGTCAAATGGATATCCATTGATCCGATAAGTACTGGGACTAGGATTCATAATAATCCAACAATATTGGTATCTCTATGCATAAAACATTTTCAAGTAAACAATCAAATAAATTTCTTTTTATAGAAAATAAATAAATAGATAATAATTTGAGAAAAACAAGTGAATGATTGTGTGTAAAAGTGTTGCACAAAAATAACTATAAAATAATTATCTTCCATCAACATATGGCATGTCATGTGGCCATTGGATATTCCAATATGTTGAGGATCAAAAGGAGGGCTTATGGCCACTCTACCAACAATAACACCCAACTGGTGTCAAAGAATGGGAAGTACATATTTAATAACACTAAGGACTTGGTCTTCAATGAAGCCTCTGTGTATTGGTCCGTTAAGATTCAGTATCTGGCTTCTGATGGGACTTTGGTTAAGGATAACACTGCTTCATGGGTGTTGGCCGAGCAAGGCGCATTCCACTTGCGGCAGTTTACTCTCGATGATGACGGGAATCTCAGAGTTTACAACCTCGGTCCTTCTGTTAATGATACGTGGAAAGTTGTTTTGAAAGCGGTACTAGAACCCTACGCCATTTACGAAACATGCGGTCCGAACTCTATCTGGATGGGCAGTGAAAGGAATTCTCCTTACTGTGTCTGCCCACCGTGGTTCCAGAACATCATCGGCGAATGCAAGAGGAAAATTCCATTCACAGGGCCAGAAGACAGCAAGTTCCTCCGGCCGGATTACGTCAACTTCAACGGCGAGTAGAACCAAACCGATAGGCAAGCTCTCAATTGAACGAAGACCGAGGGTCTGTAAGAAGGAAAAGTTCACTGTGTCTAGGAATCCAGATCGGAAGGTGCCACTGTTAACCATAGAAAAGTTTAGAGGAGGGATGCAAATCTCTTCCCTGATTGTAGATTGCATCTTAATCTCCGGCATCAATTCTCGTTCATCTTCCTCAATTGCCCCACCCTTGTCTTTTCTTATCTTCTCCTCTTTAATAGCTTTGGCGCCAATAAGATAGAGAGAAAGGGATGATGCAAAGCAGACATGTGAAGGAATCAACTAATCCTTTTCCTGCCCATGCGAAGGAATTGAGGTAGAAGTTAGGGAAGACGAAGTGTTTTTCTCCCAATTGTTATAAGGGCAGTATGGGGATTAAAAAATAATGTAACGACAGATTTTAATGGAAAGCTAACAGAAGGGAGAAGGGAGTTTTTGTATTATAATCATAGTACAGGGGAGTTTTTATTAAATTAGAGATAATTTAAGAGATAAATAAGAGTTAGAGATAATTTTAAAAATAAATAAGAATTAAAGACAATTTAGAAGGAAGTGGGAGAAAGTGGTGTCACTTGGTTTAACATTAAAAAACAAATCTCTTTCTTTTGTTAGAAATAATTAAGCATATGCGATTTTTTCTTGATTTAATAAATAATTATATAAAATTAAAAAAATAAAAAAATAGAAAATCAGGAAGAATGATTTGAAGCAAAGACAAGGCGACTGACATGATAAGACCAATTTTAATATATATACTTGTCCGAGTTTTATTGTGGGGGTAAGGTTTTGATGTGACCATAGTGGCAATCCGTTTGGATAGGCTTTTGCTTTTTGAGTACTGAACTGTTGACCAAAGAGAGTTTCGAAAGTTTGGTAAGAGATGCTTAGTCGTAATCTAAAGCCAAAACACCTTTTAACCCGAAGCTTTTAGACTTTAAAAACCCAGACCCTAAAGCTTATCCAAATACAACTTTAATTAACTTTATAATTTTCTGGAAAACCACTGATTCCATTCAGCAAAATTTAGGTTTAAATTGCCCCTGTGAATGTGTTATTTCTCATCCATCCAATTAGAGAGAAATCCAAGTCCACCAGGAGGTTATAAATTCTGATGAGCATTCTGTCCTTTGGACAAGTAGAGCTGATTCAATTTTAGATAATAAATCAGGCAGATACAAGACAGACAGGTATTTATGGAGGAAATTAAAAGTAGGTTACAGAACTGTAGAAGCGAGCAAGAAAATTTTCTCGCACGTTTCTGTTTGGTCAAAGTTAAGAATGGATGCTTCAAAGTTCAAACTCATTTGTTTATTTGTTGTTTTCAGACGCCCATCTTCCTACTCTGTCAATTTTCGTGCGGAACAGGTTTCCCATTCCTTAACCCCCCCCTTCAGGTTTCAGTCATTTACTTCCACACTCAAATCGAAATTTTTAAACCAAGCATCTTTCAACAGAATGGACTGGAATTTCTCTCACCGACTTGATAATTTAGTCTTTACACACATACACAATGAAGAATAATGAATTGAATTGGTGATGACAAATGTGAACCACTGCCAAACTTGATTGACCCCAGATGACAGGATTCGTGAACCCGCCAAACCTTAAGTTCTTAATTTGTATCTGAACTGAACCCCCTGTACTGTACAATGGTTTGAACCATTGTCCATTTTTTCTCGGAGGGTGCGCCCGCCAAAGAGAGAAGATGGTGTCTGTGGTCAAAATCTTGCGTCATGGTTGTTGGCCGGCATGCCAAAGTATTCGCTTTTGCGTGAATAATGATATAAAGCTAAAGGAATTGATCTTTCACCGGAAGCCTCCTCATAACATCTCAGAGTGAACAGCAATGAACACTCTGGTCCGCAGCACCTCTTTGGCCCTTTGCCATGGAGCCGGCTACTATGAAGTATTGTCCCGAAGCGGTAAAACCTGGGGAGAAGACGGCCTTAGCCGGAGAGCAGGGTCCAAAAGAAAGAAGGATCAAGAGCATCTGACCATGTCTTTAAGCTATAGGAGGGACAGAGCTAAGAAACGGCAGATTTTTCTCCGGACCTACAGGCTATCATCCTTGGAGAAAGAGAAACCTCTGAGACCCACTTCTCGGAAGCTCAAGAAATTGATCGTGAAAGTGAAATCAGTCGTAAAATCGGTTTTCGCCTTTGCCCGAATCTGTTCGCTAAGATCTTGCAGCGGAGGACAGGCTTTCCGTGCTTCTTGTCCGACGCTGGACAGGAGGGTCCCTTGAGTCTTCAGTCTTACTCTTGTACTGTCTTCTTCCCCGCCAAACGGAGAAGTTGCAGTCACAAAGAGCTGCGTGTTGCTAACAATTGCCATTAATATTATATATGTAAGATACTGATATGATATAATTCGCAATTGAACACTGGAGCCTCACTGTTCTGTTACCCTTTTGTTTCCCAATTGTTAACTTGTTAATGGATGCCGAGAGAGAGAGAGAGAGATGGCGTCCGGCTGTGTTTAATGTAGAAACTAGAAAGGAATAGTAGGATTGCCATGGCAGGTCCAACAAGTTCGGAACAGAAAAGTGCTGAAAATAGAGAAGACAGAAAGCGGATTGAAATTCATTTGACCCGGTTGGAAGTAAAATTAGATGCCTCAAACTTCATTTCTGTTGCACCACAAACATCCTTAACCATCGGGACTACATTCCACAACATGCCATCCTTTCCACAGACAAACAACCACCTCCTATTCTCTCCGGCCGCCCACCTCCCCTCCGGTCACAGAGAGAGAGATTTTCCTAGGGGAGAAGAGGAGAGTCCTAGTTTCTTTTCTTTTCTTTTCTTCTCCTCTTCTCTTTCGACTTCCTGACTTCCCTTTCTTTCCATAATCCATCTCTTCCTGGTTTCTCTGGCCAAAAACAAAATTTAATTTGTAACCACAACCAATCCAAAGATGAACAACAACACGGACACGAATTCCGGGCAACCTCAACGCCCATCAAAGTATGTAATGCTTTCGGAGAATGGAGGGGAAGCAACAGGCATTCGACCTCCTCCCTATCGTCGCAACATCCCACGCTACCACAAAAGCAGTCATAAGAGCGGTAAATGCTGCCTTAAATGTATATGCTGCTGCTATTGCTTCATCATCCTATTGATCTTAATGTTAGCAGGCTTCATCTTCTACCTCTACACATTCTTCCAACCCAAGATCCCTTCTTACAAGTTTGAGCGCATCGATGTGAACAACTTCGATATGCAGAAGGACTTCAGTCTGTATGCCGAGTTTGTGGTGACTGTGAAAGCTGAGAACCCAAACGATAAGATTGGCATCGTCTATGACAAGGACAGCATCGTACTCGTGGATTACGATGATTCAACGCTTTGTTCCGGAAAGCTTCCGGCTTTTCACCAAGGCTATAAGAATATAACCGTCCTGAATATTGTGCTCAAAGGGAAGAGCGAGTTTGGGTCGGGGCTTCAGGCAGCTCTCATGGATAACCGAAAAACGAATAGAATACCCTTATTCATCAGAGTAAAGGCGCCTGTGAACGTTGTGCTAGGGAATGTTCCATTGAGACAGTTCGATGTTTTTCTTAATTGTTCTATGGTTGTTGATAACTTGTCGCCCAATAAGACAGTTTCCATCTTATCAACGAAATACAATGTATCCGTCGCCCTCTGATCGATTTCCACTTGTTTGGTCTCTTTTTCTCTTTGATGATTATCTCTAGCTCGTACTTAGATGTCCACGATGAAGGTGGGAGAGGGACAGAAGAAGAGAAGAGCATCCACAGTTACAAGTACAGCAGCTAGAAGTTTGAATTATTTGATACACACACAAACGAACGGCTAACATCCTCTTCAATTCAACACCCTTGTATTATTTACCAATCACCATCATCACCTCAAATGTCCATCTGGGATTAATTCTGTTTCAATTTTCAAACATGCAAATTAATGCATATAGGTGTAGTATGTGAGAGAGTTGTATAGGCTTCTTCTGATTTAACTTGGAATTTAGTAATGCATGTAAATTGTATTTTAAGCAAAATTTCCTTATGTGATTCTCCAACAAAAAGGAAAGATCAAGGGTTAATTAATTTCCTTCTCTATATGGCATGGGATGTAGAGATATTGAATTAACCATAGATTTCTTCCCATTCAGAATTAGCCATTTATTGCAATCTTTCTTTTATTTTTTCTTTTTTTTTTATGGAAAAACATCATATTTCATTCAACTATGAAACCACAAAGTAGTAGTAACACTACAAATCAAGAAAGTAGAGAAATCATTGTATGAAAATAGAGAAGTGGTAATAATACCAAGCAACAATACAAGTCTCTAGAAAGAACAAAAATATATAAAGGAGAAAATGAAGAAACTTCTGCAACAGTTAAAAGGTGAGGCAAAATCACCAACATAAGAGATAAATGAGTGCATCTCCAACTACCGAGAAAGAGGGATAAATACAGTAGCGTTTCGTCATAACTTTAACCATCTGGAACCATAACCATCGAAACTTTAACGAACTGGAACTAACTAAAACTTTAAAAGTCTAGAACCATAATAGCCAAAACTGTTATCGTCGAAACTAGAACCATTGGAAGATTAACCATCCGAAAAAAGTAACCACCAGAACTATTATCACCGGGAAGTAGAACCAACTAGAATTTTAATCACCTAGAACTGAGACTACCGGATTTGTTATCGTCAGAAGTGGAATCAACTGGAACTTTAACCACCCGGAACTAAAACTACCGGAACTATTGTTGCCAGAACTGGAACCAATTGGAACGTTAACCACCTAGAATTGTAATCGTCGAATTTGTTATCATTAGAATTGGGTCCACCCAAAACTATAAGTGCAAGTGAAGGTTCCCTCTCATTGGTTGGGAAAGTGCATCTCAATGGTTGTTTCGAAAATGACATGGAATTAAAAAATAAAAAAATAAAAAAAGGAGATTAAACTACTATTATTTAAATTTTTAAATTTTGTTTATAGTACTTATTATATTTTTATTATAACTTATTGATTAATATTTATTAGAGATTAAACTATTGTTTGAGATTATACTATTTATTGATTAACTTAATATATTTTTAGTACTTATTGTATTTTTTTTCATTATCAATATATAATGGAGGTAGATTTGGCCCGACCCCTTGGCTGTGCGACACGTGGAAGAAACCGGGTGTGACCTGGCAGGAACGCTGGTTTGACATAGTGACATAGCAACAACCATATTCCAAAAAGAGGCACGAGCTTCCCGAGCTCCCCAAGAAGAGGCCCGAGCTCCCCAAAAGGAACCCACACTTCCCGAGAAGTGAAACCCGAGCTCTCCCTAAGAATCTCGAGGCTAACAAGGAAACCCATGAGGGGCAAAGCCCGGACTAGCCCACCTCGGGTCAGTCCGGGCCACACCCCGGCACCTCGGGACAGTGGACCATACTCTCATCCAAAATCAAGACTTCACCTCGTGCACCACTCCGACACCTAGGCCCCAGGTCGTGCAACTGTAAAAATGTGCCTGACAGGTCCGTACTCTGAGGCAGCATGCTTGACTGGTCAGGATCTGACAGATGATAATCACACTGTAACGACCACCTGCTACCGCCATCTCAGTTGTTGCAGGGACGGCCCTGACAGAGAGTATAGTGGCGGTTATGTCTGCCCCCCATAGAGATGGCTACACCTAAACTGGCAGAAGCTTGGGAGTGAGTGCACCAGGTGGTTATAAAAGACCTTCTTCCCCCAAGAAAAGAGGTATGCGATATTTGTGCTTTCTGGTCTTAAAATCCCTTATTTTCCTTGCCTTCTCAAGAGTATTAACTTGAGATTCGGAGTATTCCCACCGGGTTCCTCCTAGGAAATCTCTTATTTCTTCCTTGTTTCAAGCATCTTCAGCTCCGTCAGAGGCAAGGTTACCAGCAGCTAAGACCAACCGGATCGTGCATCATCAATATATTTTCAATAATTGTGTATTTTTGCTATAAAATTTCAATAATTATTGGAGATTAAACTATTGTTATTTATTAGAGATGAGATTATTAATTTAGCTAAAATTATGTGTGTTCATGAGTTGGTTTGGTGTGTTGTAGGCTGTTTGGCCAACCAATTTCACATGGTCAGGTTGGGGAATTGGTCAGATGAAACTGACTGACCATTTGTAAAAATTGACCCACTCAAGTTGTATTGGTTTCGGTCGATTTTTTGGTTTGGTCAGTCGATTCAAAAGATTTAAATTTAAAAATTAAATTTAAATTTTAAAAATTATAATGCAATTGTTAAAAAATAAATTTATGATATAAAACATTTTAGACTAAGAAATATGAGAAATTTCCCATATTTCCATATTTAAAATATAAAATATAAATATATATCAATGGTCAAGTCATTTGGTTTTGTTCAGTTTACAAATTGTCAAAGCAAAACTGATCCAACTTGGTCGAGTTGGGAAACTTTTTAACCAAAGCCAACCTAAAATACTAGAAAACTAACCAACTCGGGTTGAGTTGATCGGGTTGGCTGGTTTCATCAATTTGATGAATAAGCCTAGTTGAAATTAATTATTGTTATTTTTGTATTATAAAAAATTTATTAAAAATAGTATATAAAATATGAATAATTATTAATTATTTAAAAGTTTAAAATATAAAACAATTATGTACTCTTATGTGTTTCTATTAAGGTCATTTAATAGAATATCCCATATATTTTACAACATATTTACTTAATCAACCTTTCATTAAAGAGTGTTTTTTTTGCTATTAGGCCCATGATTTTTTATTCCAAAAACACCCTTAATACTTTTTTGTATAGAAAACAAAATTGACCAAGTATAGCCAATAGAGTGGTTGCGTATGTCTTATTAGGGGCAAAAATGGTATTTTTATTTTTATTTTCTTTTGATTAAATTCATTTAAATGAACATTAGGGTCAATACTATTATTTTTTACTATCATTTAATGAAAGATTGATTAAATGCATTGCAAATTATAAGTGGTGTTTTAGTAAAATACAAATTATATGGTAGATTTTAGTAAATCCATGAAACTATAGGGAGTGTTTTGGTAAATGACCATTTCTATTATTTAGCTTTGAGTTAACAAATCTGGGGCATCGCAGAGGTCCCGCTAGTATATATTAAAACAAGTAAGTTTAGAAATTTTCTCATTTTTTCTCATTTTTTCTCATTTTTGACTTTTTTAATCCATGTCATTTTCGAAATTACCAATTAGAAACTTTAATTTCTCCAAAAAAATCTTCCTAAAATCTCTCTCTCCCTCATCCGATGAGTCGGCATGGACGCGTGAGAACCTGCCAATCACAAACGCTCACGTCAGCGTGTTTAAAATTCATTAACTTTAACGGAAGTTTAACTCTTAGTTAAAGAATCCGATTGAACCGGACGCAAAAAATTTGAGTTTTTAATACGTCTCTTATTTCTTTGCAGCGAAGCAAACACCGAAAGAGATGAATTCCCGGGTTACAATGATCTTCATTTACATCGTCCTCGCCTTCTCGTCCTGTACCCTTCCTCAGGTTTGAAAAACCTCCTTCATCCGCAACCAATTTCTCCTGATCATCGAACCCCTAAACCAAACTCCTTAAATATCTCATCCCTGATGCTTTCCATGTCTTTTGTTTTTTTCTTTTCTTTGTGTGTGTGAGCAGGGAAGCGCTGAGAACTTGGAAGACTTGTCTCTCGGTTCTCCAATGCATTAGAAGCCCTATAAAAACAAATCGGGTAAGTTTTGATGCTTTCATCTCTCTGTATCTCTCTATCTCTTTTATTTTATTTTATTTTTTTCTTGATGAGGCTCTTCTAATTTGTTTTCCTTTTCTCTATCTGTTGCAGATACAAGTTCAAGAACATAGAACCTCTTCGTCGGGTAGTGACCCACCCCTCCTACTCCGGAGAGAACTACAGAGCTTTAGCTATTTTGGGTATGAACGTCATCCAAATTTCAACGTCTCTCCGCTACCTCCAACGGGATATATATAGAGATGTCGGCCAAAGAGTAGAATTGTCAGGTAACTGATGTCTCAGAAATGCAATCTTCTTGCGCTGCCGACGCGTTGCGGTTAGAGTTGGACAAAGTGGTGAGGGTTTAGGAAGACAGACTCTACCCTGCCGTCCGTCCTTTGTGGTGCTTCGTGCTTACCGAGACATCTTTGGTGCCATTGCCCTGGACATGGGTAAGCCTGATGCCGCGGCCCGCGGGTAGTGTGTTCTGGCCTTCTGCCCTTCTGGGATGTTCACGATGCTGGCGATTTTCATGCAGAGGAGCACCATGTTGTTGGAAATGTTGCTCTCTAACCTCTAATACATAAATAAGTTTTTGTTCTTCCGTCAATCAGAGATTTACTGTTACTGTGTGTCTATCCTAGCCTGTTTCTTGTGTCACTCCTTGGTGAAATGTTCAAACAATAATTTTTTTCTGTGTTAGAGATCTTGTAGCCACTAGAAATGTCTATACTTTTCTTTGGTAAGAAAGAAATGTTTATGTTTAAATGCTAAGAAAGTTCAGTATTAAAATCTTGTTTGTTCCTTGTTATGGGTCTGTGTTTTTGAAGGGTTGTCTTCCCCACCATCAAAATATTGGTTTTGCGGAAGCTGATTCATTGCTTCAACACTATGTTGGTTATGCGTCCAACCGATCAATTAGGTGCTATCACTAATAGAGCAGTCCAGCAGGATCAATGAAATGTTCTATGTTCTAATAACCAAGCAAACTTTCAACACCGAAAAACTTGTACCGAGAAGCGACACATGCACTCTGGTTCTACTTCCAAATCCCATTGAATATTTGAACAGACAATATGCTAGATTTGGAAAGCAGTTCATCGATTGCTGAGAGATGCAATTTGAGCTGGCCAGCAGCAAACAAGTGCATTTCAAGGATGAGATCTCAGACCCATCGACAAGAAATCATACAGGACCTTGGTGAGATGGTGTATGGGAATTCCTGGAAGATTTCTGCAAAGAAGTTAACAAACTTCCTAAGAATTATCTTCTTTAGAGATGGGGTGAGTGAGACCCAGTTCTATAAAGTGCTCAAGGAAGAGCTGTAGACCTTAGAGCTGCCTACTCGTGCCGCCATTGGTAGCTTCTGCGTTCAATGAGATCGCTGGTCGCAGATGAATGCTTCTGCGCTAGGGGTTGGCGGAGGAAAGTATGGGAGAAAGAATAGAGTAAGGTGTGTTTTAAGATTTTTTGTCTTTTTTTGTGTCCGGTTCACCGGAATCCTTAAATAACAGTTAAACTTCGGTTTAAAGTTAATCAATTTTAAACAGGTCGACGTGGGCGTTTCTTTCTAATCGGTGGTTCACGCGTCCGATGCACCAACGCAGACTGGGTTCCAATAACCTCAATAATCTAATATCCTAAAATTTTTCCTAAACAATCTCTCCCACTATTTTTAAATTTCTCCTTAACTTATCACTAATTTAGTAGACAATTTATCTCCTAAATTATCTCTAATTTTTATTAATATAATCTCTCACTTTTTATCTACATCTATCTAAAGAAAGTTTGAATTAAAAAATTCTAACAAAATTATATAATAACTATAAAATATTTATTAAAAAGACAAAAAATAATTATAATCGATTTAATAATATTCATATTATTAATAATTATATATTTAAAAAAAAATTATCACGAAATTATGTACAAACAATATAAATTATGATTTTTTGGATTATTCAATATAATTAGATTTTAAATAGTTAAAATAACAAAATTATGTATTAATAGTACTATAATTTTATGGATTATTAAGTTCAACAAGTAATTAATATTTTAAATTTAAATAATGATATTATTTGAATAAATAAATAGTATTGTAAATAACTAATTTCATTTATACCAATTAATAATTCTAGAAAATAACTTTCAAAAAAATATTTTTTATCAATAATAATTTTAAAAACATAATCTTTAATTATTATATATTTATCTAAACTAAAATTAATATTTATTGTATTTTAGTAATTATTTACTATCTTTTGTGATAAATATATTTTCATTCATTATGTATAAATTTATTTTTGTTTTTTTATTTAATAGAAAATTTTCAATAATTATTGGAGTTTAAACTATTGGTATTTAGCTTTCTAAATTTAGTTCATTGTGTTTTGCTATAAATTTTTAATAATTATTGGAGATTAAACTATTATTCATGGGTTGGTTCAGTTCAGTTGTAGGTTGTTTGGCCAACAAAATCGACCTTGTCAGGTTGGGGGTTGGTCACTTAGGTTTTATCGATTTTGGTTAATTTTTGGTTTTGTCGGTCAGTTCAAAAGATTTAAACTTAAAAAATAAAACTTAAAAATTAAGTTTAAATTTAAAAAAAAAATTACAATGGTATTATTAAAATATAAACTTAAAAACTAAATTTATGATATAACTATTTTAGCCTAAGAAATATTGGAATTTCTCGCTTTTTCATATTAAAAAAATATTTAAAATATAAAATATTAATATATCTATGGTTGGGTCGTTCAATTTTATTCAGTTTACAAATGACCAAAGTGAAATTAATCCAACCTAGTCAGGTTGGGAAATTGTTGAACCAAAGTCAACTAGAAATACTAGAAATCGAGTTGGTTAATTTGATTAGATTGATTAAGAATGGCAACGGGGTGGGGCGTGGACGAGGAGTCTCTCCCCATCCCCATCCCCACGAAAATCCTCATCCACCTCTCCATCCTCATCCCCACTAACGAGGACAAAGTTATCCCGATCCTCATCTCTACAAGGATCCCCACTCCCTGTGATTCTTTATAATGTCAACCATTATATTTTTGTTTTTTATTTTATTTAAAAAATAAAAATAAAATAGTTAAAATTTAAAATAGAAATGGTTCAAACATATTCAACCATATTTTTAAAAATATTAACATATAGACATATGTGTACATATATACATATATAAACGTATGCATATATATACATACATATTAGTAGGGATCCCATGGGGCGAGGATTGGGGTCCACGCGGGGCAGGGAGTGCTCTCTTCGCCCCCACACTGTCTCCGCCAATGGGGATTAAAATTTCCCCACCTGCCCATAGACCAAGGCTTTAAAAACTGATCTAGAACCAGAACTGATGGAGGATGATTTGACCCGACCTACTGAGATGACGACGCGTGTACCTGACTCAGCACGAGCAACAGCTCAACATCATGGCTTGACCGCGACTAAGTAATGAACCTGTAGAACAGCTTGCCATGTCATGGCTCTCTATAGAGGGAGCTCGCTGCAACGCGAGCTCCAGGTCCCCTGAGCTATTGAGAAGGGAATACTCCAGGACTATTTCAGCTCGCAAGCTAGGGAAACCAGCTCGCTCCAGCACCTGGGAGGAAGAACTACCCCAAAGACCAACCTTGATAAGGATCACCTCGAGGTACCCCTGAGCTTGCTACAAAGTAGCTCATGACTGGATAGCTCGCTTCGAAGTAACTTGCGACTGAGTGATGCAACGCTCTCAGGAAGCTTCCATCTGACGAGACCATACCGATCAGACTGCGCCACGTCTCTCGACTGATGGCGCAGTCCTTGCCCTTTCAGTAGTCTGCACCCATGCCTCTCGACAGACGAAGGCGTGCCTGCCCCTTTGGGACGTGTCATCCATCCAAGGGAATAGTACACTGTAACAATCACCTACGTAGACTTGGCAGGTAACGGCTGCGACAGAAGCCCAGTGGCGGTTATGCTTGATTTGACAAAAACACCCCTATAAAATCCCTTTGGGCGTTGGGGAGAGGAGATTTTTCAGATACTTTTTGACACTTACACACTCTCATACTCCCAACTTGAGTCCTTACTTGCTCGCGAGCTAACCTCTCGAGCACAGTGAAAAAGCGCGACCTACACTCTTAGCTTTTTATACTCTTTCCTTCCTCCCCAGCATTCTAACTTAAGCTTCGGAGTATTCTCGCCAGGAAAAATCCCAAGGAATCCTTCTTCTTCGTCTTCTCAGGTGCCGTCTGTTGCCAATGAGGAGCTAGTCAGCAGCCAGCTAGGAGTGCCCGGATCGTGCCGCATCATTTGGCGCCGTCTGTGGGATACACTTCTAAAAGCATTCCTCCAAACGTTTATAGCTCTTTCTTCCAAAGCTTAGCATTCTTCATGGCTTCTTCCAGCAATGTCGGACGTGGCAATAGCCAAAACGCTTCTGGGGAGCAACCCTAGCTCCCTACTGTCTGCATTGGACAGTTTACCGTCCCCCTCTCCACGGACGGAGTTCCCAGTCTGAATGTGCCTCTTACAGTGGCACCCGCCGTTGCTCCGCTCCGTCCTATAGTAGGAGCAACCTTTGCCGAATCCTCGGTTGTGCCTCCAACGGCCAACCCGAACCAACTGGAGGACTTGGTACAATGCATGCGGGCCATGCAGGCTCAAATGCAACAGTTTCAACAATTCCAACTCTACCAACAAGTGTTGCACCAGGTTTCCCAATACCAGTACTAGCAGCAGTTTCCCTCTTTGCCTTAGGCCCAGCAGTCGCTTCCCCCTCGGCACCCGACCACAAAGCAGACCAACCCCTCCAGCCGGAGTGAACAGCCTTGTCAGGGAGAAGCCTCCCAGGCCCAGGACCCAGCCAAGAGCCAAGACTCTTCCCGTAGGAAGAAGGAGAGGCTGACTACCCCCGCCTCGCAGCCTGTGGGCGGGTCAGAAGCCTCTCAGCCAACAAAGCCCGTGTCACCACAACCTTCGCAGTTAGAGCTCCCGCTCGCGGAGAATCCGTTCGAGGTCCTGGCCGTGGACTATAGATAGGCTCTTCGGTCCAGAGTCGTCACCAGCGGTCCGAGCCTGTTGAGCTCGGCGACCCTGAAGCGTCAAGCACCAACACCGAGCCAGCAAAGCAACAACAAAGACACCGGCGAGCTCGCCGGACTGCTTCTAGAGCCTCTCCCGAGCTCAAAGGAAAAGAGGAGGTATGCTCAGGTGAAGTGAAAGCTACCCCCCTCCTCTTGGTTTCTTCCCCGCTATCTCCAGAACTCCTTGTTGTCCCCATGCCAATGGGATTTCAAGCTCCCTCCTTTGGATAAGTATGATGGGTCTTTCGATCCAAATGACCATGTGGACGCCTTCCAGTCCCAGATGCACCTGGCACGAGCTAGCGAGTCCTACATGTGTGTGGCCTTTTCCACTACCTTCAAAGGAGTGGCCCGCACCTAGTACCGAAACCTCGCGCCCGACTCGATAAGAAGTTGGGCGCAGTTCGTGCAAGTTTTCACCTCTCACTTCGTCACCAACAAGAGGTGCCCGCGAACTCAGGAGAGCCTCCTCGGCGTAGTGCAAAAAGAAGGGGAGTCCATCCGGAGCTACATCAAGCAGTTCAACGACGCTTGTTTGCAGATACCCGACCTGGATCCCGCAGTTCGCCTCACAGCAGCCAAGCGAGGTATCACCCATAAGGAGTTCAAGTGGCACGTAGTTGTCAACCAACACAAAATCGTAACCGAGTTCCTTAAGCTCGCGGATCGGTTCATTGGAACTGAGGAGGAGATCAACCAGAAGGG